ACACCAAATGCCAACATACATGTGCATACACATGCAGAGACAGGCGAGGAGGGAAAGGGATGTGTAGAGGAGCGTTTTTCAGTCCAGCTGAAATATTTGAGAAAAATTAGAGAAAAGTAGATTTTAAAAACGCATCGAGGCAATTATTCACTCCAGGAAAAAAATGGCAGAACAAAGACAGACATGGTCTATTTCACTTGTGTTGTTACAGAACAACGTCTACATAGCCACATTAATGTTTCCAATACTGGTGCCAATTAAGTCAAATTTTATAACAGGATATGAAAGCATGAAAGGAGGGAAAGTTGCAGACTGTCCATTAAGAGCACTAAGCCCTCTTCCATAAAAATAGGAAATCAATAGATGATTTACAAAATGATAAATCAGAAGTAATTGTTTATAAACACAGAGGTCCTGGAAAACAACTACAGAGAAGAATGGGGGGCATTACTGAGAGTGAAAAGCCTGGGGAGAGGGCGGTTGGTGTCTTGGTTTTGTTTTAACTCTTTTACTTTTTGCTCTTTTGGAGGGCCCACCACCCAGCTCCCAAATAAATACACAGAGGCTTATTCTGTCTCACGGATGCCCCGCCTTAGCCTGACTTGATTCTAGCCAGATTTTCTTAACTCACACTATCCCACTTCTCTTCAATTACATTTTGCCTCTGGGCTTTTTACCTTTCTTTACTCTATACACCTTTCTTTCCTTCTTACTCCCTGGCTGGCTGTGTGGCTGGGTGGCTGGCCCCTGGCGCCCTCCTCTCTTCCTTTTCTCGCTCCTCCCTCGGTCTCTCTCCAGTCTATATTTCTCCTGTTTATCCTCTCTGCCTGACACCCCATCTATCCCTCACCTGCCTTGCTATTGAACATTCAGCTCTTTATTAGACCAATCAAGTATTTCAGACAGGCACAGTAACACAGCTTCACAGAGTTACACAAATACAGAGTAAAAATATGCAACACATCTTTGTATCAACAGCAAACAAACAAACATCACACAAAAATGAACGTAACACACCTTAAACTAATATCCCACAACAGAAGAGTTTTTCATCATGAAGGCTTTGGGCATTGCTTGACTTTTCCAATTCTGGGCATGTATTTCTGCACTGAAATGAAGATTTGATGGGTGGTGGTGGTGCAAGCCTTTAATCCCAGCACTCGGGAGGCAGAGGCAGGTGGACCTCTGTGAGTTCAAAGGCAGCCTTGTCTGTAGAGTGAGTTACAGGATTGCCAATGCTACAATAAACCCTGTCTCGAAAAACCTAGAGAGAGAGAGAGAGAGAGAGAGAGAGAGAGAGAGAGAGAGAAGACAACTACACAGAGGCTGAGATTCCCGGTACAGGAGAATATTACAGTATCTAGTCTACCTAAAAATGGAGCTGTCTGGTCCTACAAATAATGAGTTCACTCACTATCTTGCAAAACAAACTGTCAGTCCAACCCATCACAAACAGGGTGGAAAACTCCTGCTTTGGCCGGGGTTTTAGCCCTGGTGAGTCTTGCCTCGCCACTCAGTTCTGTGCGCCCATGCTCATTAATTGGTGTGTTTCACAAGCAGCTTCTAGCACCAATTTTGTTTCTGGAACTGCACTCAGTTCTGGCTTGAAGATGATTGAGATAAATAGGCCCTGGAAGGTTTATGTGATCCTCTCTGATCACACAGGGAACTGACTGAGGCTCCAGCTGGGCAGACCTCTGGACTCCTGTGCCACTGGTCCTATCCTTTCAAGGAGCCCATCCCTAAAAGTTCATAGTCCAGCCAGCCTAGCTGAGTGCTGAACCAGGTTCGGTGGCAGATTTGAAAGAGGTGTAGAGCCCTCGCCTGTATCCTTGCGCACACACCCACATGAATGCACCCACGCGGCGCCCGCACACAGTTCTAAGAAAAATGAAGCTGACTCTTCATGGTGTTTTTCTGATCTTATGTAGACACCATTATACAAGGCATCTGTTCACCTGAGCAAGTTTAGGCTTCTTGGATCTCTTCAGAAGGGCGTGTGGGAGCCTTTTGACAACACCGTCAACATTCACTGAACCCAAAGCTCCAAGTCACTCACCAGAAAGATCTAAAGCAACAGAAATCAAGCTAATTACCATTGCTTTGTCCGTCATCTCATGAAATGTGTGAGGGTTCTTAGGTAGAGAATTACTGCCTATGACATGGGTAAAATCCCAACTCATTTTGTGGAATTTGTCTCTGTTCCAACAGCTGCAATAAAGCCAGACCTGCGAGTACCAACATCTCTGGCTAGCGTCACTTCCTGGATCATTTTCCCCCTGGATCTGGAAGGCCTCTCTTTTTCCATCTTCTCGTGGTACCTTGATTTCTCCCTCCCCTTTTTTAAAATTAAAAGTAAGCGTCACTGTGGGTCTTAGACTAGACCAATGGGTCTGAATCAAGAGTGATTTTGCCCTTACCCCTTGGAGACATTTGGTCATGTCAGCAAGGATTTGGGTTGTCACAGTTGGGGTGGGGTGTCATTGGCCTTTAGGCGAGTAGAGACCAGGTTGCTAAATACCCTGCAATGCACAGGGAAGCCCTCTCATCACAGAGAGGTCCCAAGCGTCAGGGGTGCTGCTCTTGAGAAACCTTGTCAGACTTCTGGCTCAAGTGACAAGGTCCTGATACTTGTTTGAGCAAGTAAAGAAAGAACAGGTCGGTTATGGATGGATGTTAATGCTGCCTTTTTTTAAAGTGTGTGTGGATGTATTCAGTGATAGAGTGTCTTCTAGTATGTGTGAAACCCTCAGTTCATTCTCAGATCACAATCAATCAAATGGTAACGTTGGTAAAAGAGGAGAGAACTGAAAGACAAATGAATCTTAAGTTCAATTTTACACCCTATAAACCTAATAAAGAGTTAACGTGATGAGTCTCAGAGCTGAGGGAGGAGTACAGGAGCATGAACAGATAGTGCTGTTAGAACTGAAATTGTTCACTTGTTCAAAAGAGCAAACTGCTAAAGGACGTCAAAATCATTTTGCTCTTGAAAATTTGTCTTATGGAAAAAACCAGCAGAATAAAAAGCTTAGAGTACTACTCATAAATAATCAAAATACTGTAAGCCACTCCCAGAGTAGGGATGCAGTTTAGTAAGGCAAAATGCAGCCACCCAAAGCAGTCACCTTGGGTGCATGGCTGGGGCATTGAGGCTCATCCCCCAAAGCCCCATGGGTCCAATGCTTCTTCAGGATCATGAAGGGCTAAGATCCCAGAAGAGATCCCTCCTCAAAGGCTCAGGCAGGCCAAGGCCAAGTTCTCCAAAATGCTCCCAATGAAGGTATTTGGCTTGAGACGTGTCATCCAGAAATGGGTTGATGGGAGGTAGCAATGGGTACTCCAACGTGCAGAGCTTGGTGACTTCATAATAGGGTCATCTATATTCTACTGACCTAAAAGAGACTGGAGATACAGACCGTTGGCTGCATCTTCTGAAGCCAGTGCCCAGCCAAACTTCCCAGGCTGGCCAGACCCCATGGGAGAGGAAAAGGAGCCAGACACATTCCAAGAGGCAGCAGCTTTGTACTGTGTATTCCACATAGCTAGAAAAGGGTCCCAGTAGACTCTGCCTCTCAAGTTCATACGACTGGATGTCACCTTCCTCCCTGATGCTGAGCCAGCTCTAGGATTCACTTGTCATCATTGCAGCAGAGGTGAATGGTTGCCTGAGCTAGGTCAGAAAGGTCTGGCAGCTTTGACCTGAGTCTCTTAGAACCTTCTCTGGGAGTCTTGAATGTCTACATAAGAAACAGCCACACAGCGAAATCTCATAGAGTCACTCCTGTAGACCATTCCAGCAAAGCCAAACCTACCAACCATTCCCACTACAGTGTTCACAGCTCCTGCAGCCAAGCCCAGGCATGAGCAAATCCATCCATAGAATCTTGGTGAATGCCACACAAAACTAAAGAACCACCCAGCTGATCCCCACCCAGATCCCTGACCTTCAAATGGGATATAATAAAATTGATGTTTTAAGCCACTAGGTTTGCAGGTAAGAATTAGGCGTCAGTACATAACCAACATACCCCCTTTGGAGGAAAGTAAACTCGTCATTCCAAAAACAGATAAAGAAACGTGGAAAGGACTGGGGATGTTGCTGGATGGTAGAAAACACACCAAACATATGGGAGGTGCTATGTTCAATTCCAGCAAAAGATGGGAAGGAGGAAGGGAGGGAGGAGAAAGATGGATAGATGATAGATAGACAGACAGACAGCTGAATGATCATCTATCCTGCCTTTTATTTAGGAATCTCTTAATCATAACTACTAAAAGAAGAAAGCTCAGAAGTAGACCACCATCACTTCTCAGATGAAACAATAGAGTTAGGCAAGGATCACCAACACCTGCTAAAATCATTAGGCAAAAAGCCAGCTCTACAATGAATGGACCAGGCTGTGAACTCTGTTCACCCTGATCACTGTCTCAACAAGCCAGAGTGAATGCAGACCAGACAGCACCTGCCTCCTGATGCAAGCCAGCAGCTGCAGGGCCACCACTACAGCTACTTCCCCTCATGGTGTCCCGGGGTCTGACCATACTTCAGGAAGTCACTACCAGGCACAAGAGGAGTATAATAAATAATTCTGAGGGGATGCAACCAGTGAAATTCCGAACAGAATGGCTTCCCAGGACAGCCAAATTTCTTCAAACGATAAATGTTTTTAAAAGCAGAGAAAGAAATTTGGGCTTGGTGGTACTGTAATCCCAGCACTCAGGAGATTGAGGCAGGTGGATCTCTGTGAGTTTGAAGCCAGCCTGGTCTACAAATAGAGTTCCAGGACAGATAGAGCTACAGAGAAACACTGTCTCAAAACACACACGCATACACATATGGGGAGATGACTCAGTTGGTAAAAGCGTGTAATCAGTTACACTCAGTGTACAGACTGGATTCTGACATGCATATACTTTAACAATGACTAGATATTTGATGATATCAAGAAATTATTTTCAGTGGCTGGAGAGACGAACCAGCAGTTAAGCGCACTTACTTCTTTTTCAGTCTCCAGGTTGGGCTCCCAGCGCCCACACCAGGTGGCTCACAGCAGCCTGTGACTCTATTCCAGAGGACCCGACACCAACCTCTGATATCCAAGGGCACCTGCACACATGTGGAGCATACGAAATTGTGAGGGCACACACACACATATAAAAATAGATATTTCAAAAAGAGATTATTTCTTTAGAATTTCATACGTATGTGCAATGTATTTTGAGTCTACCCATCCCTTCTGCCTTCCCTTCAACTGCATGTCTCCCCTCTCATTTCCAGTAGCCCACTGAGTCATCTCAGTCTGCTGTTTGCTCATGGATGTGGGACCATCCATCGGAACGTGGGCAGTGTACCACAGTCACAAGGATAAATGACTCCTCCTCCCCCTCAGCAGCCATCAATGACCCATAGCTCCTCAGCCAGAGGTGGGACTTTGTGAGATCCTTCTCCGAAATTAAGAAATGATTTTCAATCTCTATACATATAGAATATTATGGAATTCTAAATAAAATATTTATTTAGTGATGTAAGATGTGTATACTCCAGGTATACAAAGTATTCTGAGGTAATGATATCCTGATGGTAATAATAGTCTACGATATATATATTAAAACAAGACATGATACGTTGCTATTGTTGAAGTGGGTGATGAAGATAGCGAGTTTTAGTGTACTGTTTTCTTTTATGTAATTTAAATTTCTATTTAAAAGCATAAGCAAAGGATAGGGAGATGTCTCAGCGAGGAAGAGCACTTGCTGAGGACAGCACTTAGTGAGAGGACCTCAGTTCAAGCCCCCAGCACCCACATAAAAAGTTGGGTGTGGCCACACACTCTAGCATGATCTAGGCTATAGGAACAGAGACAGGAGGCTCACGGGAGCTGGTGACTGCCGGCCAACTCCAGGTTCCATGGGAGCCTGTTCTCTAGCATATAAGGCAGACAATGACATAGCAGGATACCCAACGTCCTCTTCCGGACTCTGCGCGTGTGTCTGGGAGTACACAAACTATACACAGAGATGTGCATATGCACACACACTCACATGGACACACATACATACACAAGCTAAAGAGCAAACACAAATAACCCGGGCAGGGGAATTCAGAGGGATGGAGAGATTTCAGTCTCATACTCATTTCTGATTGCATGGGGGACACTCTTTCCTCCTCACCACCACCCAAAGTCCCCCTACACGTACGGGACTGAAAACCTAAAGCGATGTTTGAAATCACATTTTAAGGATGCATAATGGAAGGGAGTTTGAAGAGGGAACGAAATTATCAGGGAGGATTACACTGTCACCACTTGACACAATGGGGATTGCAGAGCTCACTGCCCCAAACAAGTCCTGCTTCATACCAGAGCTGCGACTCAAGCAGGCGTCGCCATGGGAAGCGGTTCCTGCCCTGGAGATGAAATCTCTCTCCCTGGCTGGGTCCTTGAGAGCAGGCTCCCTTCCACACAACAGGTGGACGCGGGTCTTAGGATGCACTTGAGATTCTTTTCATGGTCTCGGAAGGCGCAGGAAGGAAGGCGCCTCTGGTAAAGTCAGCAGCCTTGTCTCTGTGTGCCTGGCGTCCCGGGCAAGATCCTGCCTTCCTGCGGGTCAGTTTCCTCCAGGTGTGATGATGGGAAGTGGGAGAGAGCCAGGTGAGTCGCAGGCTTGGGGCGTGACTAACTCCGCAAGCACCATCAGGCTGCCCCAGCTCCCTGTGTCATCCCCATGTGTGGAGGAGGGATGACAGCCTCCATCGCACGCTGTGAAAAGGATAAAACTGATGATGTCAGAGTGTTCGGTTTGGTACCTAACTTAGCTCTCAGGCATTATCAACGTTGCTTACTTCTTCACAAAACATAGGCTGCATCTGGGATAAAGGTCCCTCTCATTGTAATGCTGGGACGGTCACCCTGTATGCACTGAGCCTCGCGTTAGGTGGAGGTGTGCCTGACGCTGGAGTCAGGGACTAACGTCAGCACACGGGGCAAAAACTCACTGACTCCTGAGGATCCTTCCCCCTCAGCTGACCTATGTTCATCTGCTCAACCCTCAAAAGTGCCGCTGGAGTGGGGAGCAGGCGAGTGGTGGGGACCAAGGCTTCTTTCAGGGTTTCATCTTGTCTCCTCAGAGTACAGCTGAGCCTTCTGCATTGCTGCTGTTGTCAGTTCTGGGTGAGCAGCCCCAACAACCGCCGTCCCTCAGGGTTGCCCTGAGATGCTCACTGTCCAGCAGCCAGGAAGGAGCACGCTGCCTTGGTAACTGTCCGTCCTCACACGTGGCACTCAGGCCCCACAGTCTTTCCTTATCAAATACAAACGTATTAAACACTTCTCAAGAACAAAATTCTGAGGCCCGGGATGTGTGAGGCTTTGGGCTCCATTCCAGCACCAAAATCCATTAATCAATCAATAAAGCAAGGCGTCATGCTGAGCAGTGGCAGGATGGAGTCAGTCAAACATGGCTCCCTCTTAGAACTGTACAGATGTGGACCGGAGCAATAGAGTGGCTGACAGGCCACCGATAAAGCCGGATGACAGAAGGATGTGAAAGGAGCCTCCCATCTCCTGTCTTGGAAAGCAGGGGAGATCTGAGTGTCAAAGGGAAGGAAGCCCCCAGAAGAGGAGACATGGGGGGAATCTGAAGGTCCATGGGCCCATCCTCTGAGGCAGATGGGGTCAGGTGGGGGCCTCCAGACAGGCTGAGGGCGGATACGGACATGGCTCCACAGGCAGGAGAGCGCAGAGTGGCTGGCTAGTCCCGTGCTTGGGAAGGAACCTCAGTGGCTCTCTTGTCACCCCTGTGGCAAGCCTTTTCGTGGGACACTACACAGCACCCTTCTACACCAGGGAGCTCCAAATCTTTAATCCCTGCCAGCCCTTTCTACAGAGCACACAGCAGAAACTTCGGGGTTCCTCTACACATTCGTTCTCCAACTCTGTGATGGAGAGGAGGTAGAGGAGGAGATGAAGCTAAGCATGAGGGAGATGTTAACTGCCGGGAGCCTAGCAGGCTACCCAGCGCTCCCTGACACACCCATCCAGAAACGCTGGGTGCAATTTTTCAAATTATTTTATTGTGTATGCATGTGCATGTGTGCATGTGTGCGCATGTGTGTGCACATGTGAGCACGTGTGTGTGCATGTGTGCATGTATGAGTGTGTGTGCATGTGTGTTTGTGCATGTGTGAGTAGGCAAGAAGTCAATGTTCGGTGTCTTCCTCAATCACTTTCCACATTTAATTTTTTTTTTTTTTTTTTGGTTTTTACAAGACAGGGTTTCTCTGTGTTGTTTCAGAGGCTATCGGTCCTGCCCGGCCTCGAACTCACAGAGATCCGCCTGCCTCTGCCTCCCGAGTGCTGGGATTAAAGGCGTGCGCCACCACCGCCCGGCTCACATTTAATTTTTTAATTAACTTTATATATTTATTTTGGAGGGGACACACACACCACAATGCACATGCAGAGATCAGAGGACAACTTGCAAGAGGTGGTTCTCTTCCACAACGTGGGCTCCAGAGACTGACCTCAGGTTTGGAGTTTGGGAGCAAATGCTTTTACCAGCTAAGTAGTCTTGCTAGCCCTCTTCCTTATTTTTTGAAGCAGACTCTCTCGCTGATTCCAGAGTTCAGCAGTTCAGCTAGGCAGACTGACCAGTGAGCTCCAGGGATCTGCGCATTTCTCCTCCGCCATGCTGGGATTACAGGGACGCAACACCACACTGATTTTTATGTGAGTACAGGAGCCCCAAACTCAGGTTCTCATACTTAGGTGATGACACTCTGAGGCCAGACCAGCTGCCCAGAAGAAGCAGAAACCAGCTGAGCTGCCTGGAAGAGGGTTAGACCCACCGAGGCACCTGGAAAGGACGTGGAGCTGCCTGCAGGCTGTGCAGTGGCTCCAGGTTCCCACCTTTTGTGAGCTGTCCCCCGTGCTGGGGTGGGGCTGGAGTGGCCTTTATGATGGAGCTGTCTTTGGGTCATTTCTGCTCCTGTAAGTAACCCTGCACCCATATTCCTATTAGTAGCACCAATAAAACTCATTGGTTCACGGAGTCGGACTTGGGTGGCATCCTTACTTTGGCCTGTTGTAGGTTCCCTACCTGGGAGTAGTAGACGCATTTGCGCCCCACTCATCACACAACAGCAGCAGGCCTTCTTAACCACTGAGCCATATCTCTGGCCCAAAGCATAACCAACAACCCGAAAATGTGACCTGGTGACATTGACTGAAGATGACACACAACCCTACAGGTAGCAAGTGGGATTTCACACAGACAGAGGGCGCTTTCGTGAAAATCAAAAGACCCTTCCCCTCAGCTGGTGAGCTCACAGTGGCACTGCGATGGCTGCTCCGTGCCAGCAAGACCAGAAGATCTGCAACCTTCACCACAAGACCAGAAGATCTGCAACCTTCACCACAAGACCAGAAGATCTACAACCTTCACCACAAGACCAGAAGATCTGCGACCTTCACCACAAGACCAGAAGATCTGCGACCTTCACCACAAGACCAGAAGATCTGCAACCTTCACCACAAGACCAGAAGATCTGCAACCTTCACCACAAGACCAGAAGATCTGCAACCTTCACCACAAGACCAGAAGATCTGCGACCTTCACCACAAAACCAGAAGATCTGCAACCTTCACCACAGGACCAGAAGATCTGCAACCTTCACCACAAGACCAGAAGATCTGCGACCTTCACCGCAAGACCAGAAGATCTGCAACCTTCACCGCAAGACCAGAAGATCTGCAACCTTCACCACAAGACCAGAAGATCTGCAACCTTCACCACAAGACCAGAAGATCTGCAACCTTCACCGCACAGCTCTGGATCTCAGTGGGTTTTATAGCAGAGAATTTACTTCATACGTTTATTTGTTATAAGAAGGCTCTGTCTCATTTCATATCTTTACCTACTTAAACAACATGAAGACGAAACATATTTAAGTCAACAGTGAGGTTCCCAGTGCCCATATTATTTGTTTTATGTGCATAAGTGTTTGTGTGTGCATGTCTGTCTGTGCACTTATGTGTGCCTAGTGCTCAGGGAGGCCAGCAGAGGGTGTCAGATCCCCAGGAACTGGAGTAACAGATGGTTCCGAGGTGCCTTGCGGGTCCTGGGAATCAAACCCGGGTCCTCTGTGAGAGCAATGGGTGCTGTTAACCTCTGAGCCATCTTTCTAGAACCCGGTACTCTTGTTATAGTTTGAGAAACATCCATAACGATGCAGCAATATGAACTTGCCCTTTTAAATTTTTGTTTGTCTATTTTGGAGTCCTTTTGCAGAGCTCATTGAAGTGGATACAAACAGGACCTTTAAATAACAGATTAGGGGGAGGCACATACTTCTTGTTGCAGAAATCTGAGAATCATTACCTCCCCTGCACACATATGTTCAAAGCATGTTGGTAAATAACAGATTCTGAAAAGTCTAACAAAAAAAAAGATACCAGGTGTCATCTTCCACAGTGTCCCCAAGCCTAAATGAACACAGGCGTTCTGTTGAAGCCATCTTCCACATGTTAAGCAATCACCCTGGGGAGGAGAAAACCCTGATCTACAAGCAACCTGACTAGGAATATCCTGTGCAACATTTTTGTGTTAGAGACCTCTTCAGTTTCCTGTGGGTGTCTATGGATATCTTCCTGAGATGATGTTTTCACTTTTTTATTGTATTTACTTATTTTTTATGTGCATGAGTCTTTTGCCTGTACACATGTCTGTGCAGCGTATGTGTGCAGTGCCCAAGGAGGCCAGAAAAGGACAACAGATCTCCTGGAACTGAATAATTTTGAACAGCCATGTGAATTCTGGGAATTGAACTGGATCTTCTGGAAGAGCAGCCAGTGTTCTTCTGAGCCATTACTCCAGCTGCAGAGAGCTTTATTTTTAATTATATGATATGCATGTCTGGGTATGTGCACGTGAGTGCAGTGCCCATGGAAGCCAGAAGAGGGCACTAGACCACCCGGAGTTACGGGTAGTTTTGTAACACCCAGCATGGGTGCTGGGAAGTGAACTGTGATTCTCTCCAAGAGTAGCACATTCTTCTCAACTGCTGAGCCATCTCTCCAGCACCCTAAAACAGTGTTTTTAAACACATACAGTTCAATAAGAAAGAATGCAAAGGAAAACCAAGTATACTAAAATACAATTTCCAGTGTTTTCAATGAAATACAATTTCCAGAATCATTTTAAAGTAAATGCAAGTACTTGAAAGAAAGAAGAGAGAAAAAAATCTACAAAGGAATAATAGCGAATGAACATATAGTGCATAATCCCTTTGTTTGAAGTATCTAACTAGGGCAAATCTGTAAAGTTGACTAGTGGCCACATGGGGGCTGAGGGCAGGTGAGAGGTGACGGAGCTGAGTTCCCCTTTGGGGTAATGAGAGTGTTCTAACATTGTGATAGTGGATAGAGATCATTCATAATTCATTTAGTTATGAATTTTAAGTTGGTGAATAGTATCATGTGTAAATTATATCTCAGTAAATCTATCTAAAAATGGATAGCAAATTTTTCTTAATTTTATTGAAACATTACTTGGTTCCTCGTTAATCTGTAAAATTTGTATTTTTTTTATTTTGCTTTGTTCCTTGATACTGGGTCTTTTTTTTTTTTTTTTTTTTGGTTTTTATAAGACAGGGTTTCTCTGTATTGTTTTGGAGGCTATCGGTCCAGCCTGGCCTCAAACTCACAGAGATCCGCCTGACTCTGCCTCCCGAGTGCTGGGATTAAAGGTGTGCGCCACCACCGCCCGGCGATACTGGGTCTTAATGTGTAGCCCTGGCTGTAGATCAACCTGGCCTCAAACTTACATAGATCCACCTGCCTCTGCTTCCCAGGTAATGGGATTAAAAGCAAATTCCACCATGCCTGGTTAACTTTCATTTACCTATTAGTTGAAAATATATTTAATTGATACTTTCTTAAAACCCAATTAGATTGAAAAGTACAAATGCGAAACACTAACAGACTCAATGAATCTAAAGAGACGACTAAAACTACACTATGTATACCATAGTCAACTTGCTCAAAATGAATAATGAAATCTAAAAAAGCAATCAGAAAAGGACACGTGTTGTGGAATGTTACTTTAACTATGCAAAGATGTATTACATTTGTTGTTTATGCTGCATTTGTATAATTATGTAAAGATGGGCTGCATTTGTTTTATATTGCCTGCCTAAGGCACCTGATTGGTCTAATGAAAAGTTGAATGGCCAATAGCTAGGCAGAGGAGGGATAGGCAGGGCTGGCAGGCAGAGAGAATAAATAGGGAATCTAGGCTCAAGAAGAGAAGAGACCAGAGAGAGAGACAGAGACAGAGACAGAGACAGAGACCCAGGGCCAGACAGACAGACACAGAGACTGTACAGAATGAAAGAAGGATAAATAGCCCCAAGGCCAAATGTCGATGAAGAGAAACAGGCAAGCATTAAGCTATGAGTGGGATAAGCGTAAGATGAGAAAAAGCATCCATAACTGAAATAAGGCTGTGCGTCTCGGTTTGGGAGCCGGTTTGCAGTGCAAAACAGCCTGATGCAGACACTGCACGTACAGTGGGCAGAAGAGGGCAGCAGATTTGTCGCTGGAAGCAACGCAAGACAGAAGACAGCAGGCCAAATCCTTTAAGACGGGAGAAACAATGTCAACCCAGAATGCTTCACCCAACGACATTTGCTTCAAAGTGAAAGTCAGCGGAGACAGGAGGCCCCAGCTGGCCCAGGGCTCTGGTGAGTGTTGAGACACCACAGGACAGCTACATTCACATAGTCACAGCAGCCTTGGTTACCTGCACAAGACTGAACCAGGCAAAGCCCACAGAGATGGGGGACCCAGGCCCCGTGTTACTGAGGAGCTGCTGGCAGTTGAGAGCTGCGCAGGAGGGAGAATGGTGATTTATTGCGGACGTGTCCACTGGTGGCTCCTCATGTCCAGTGGCTGGCCCTACACTCATGGGCAGCACAACTGGACTTAACGGATTACTAAAAAAACATGAAGTTGTGAGAGGAGATATGGGGGGGGAGAGGAGAAAAGATAACAGCTATGACTATATTAATTTCTCAGGAATAGAGAGAAGCTATAATAAGAATAAAGTCAGTGCAATGGGTTTCAACCTCACACCACTAAGGGGGATGCGATCCAGAAAATGGAAAATAATAGTGTTGGCAAGGACCATGAGGACCTGGAATCCTTGCCTTAGTGTGAAGAGTGTTATGAGCTTATCAGAGCTAACGGTAAGATCACAACAGGACCGGGAAATTCACTCCAGCTACATCCTCAACTGAAGGGAAATTCACTCCAGCTACATCCTCAACTGAAAAGATCCAGTGCAAGTCGGTATCCAGATGCTCACCGCGGCATCTTCACTACAGCCAAAAGGTGGATGACCCCGTGTCCATCCTCTGTGAGCACACACAACAGAAGGAATGCCCGTGTCCATCCTCTGTGAGCACACACAACAGAAGGAATGCCCGTGTCCATCCTCTGTGAGCACACACAACAGAAGGAATGCCCCGTGTCCATCCTTACACATGACAGAAGGAATGCCCCATGTCCATCCTTACACACGACAGAAGGAATGCCCGTGTCCATCCGCTGTGAGCACATGTACACACGACACAACCCTAATCAGCGAGGCAGAACACTGATGCCACAGCGGAGTGGCCTTGATGGGTCTCCAGAGGAGCAGCCATCTACAGTCACAGGGAGAAGAGCAGATGCCAGGAACAGTGACTTCTCAGGTGTTGGGCTTCCAAACACAGAGGTCAAACCCTGGAACTGCAGAGGTAAGGCGACACTGTGCAGTGTTGTACATGCACTAGATGTTGCTGCATCCGACAACCTAAAAGTTAAAGCGGTAGATCTTATGGTTTTATCACAGCTTTCCAAACTACCGTGAGGTATATCTCATTAAAATGGCTAAATGGATGGACATGACACTGTATGCTTGCAATCCCAGCACTGGAGAGGCTGAGACAGCAGGAAGATTGCAAGTTTGTGGCCAGCCTGGCCTACAAAAAAGTTTGAAGCTAGCCTGGCCTATATGATGGGAACTTGGAGAAAGAGAGAAAGAGAGAGAGAGAGAGAGAGAGAGAGAGAGAGAGAGAGAGAGAGAGAGAGAGAGGGAGAGAGGAAGAAAAAGAAATACAAAAAGGAAGGAAGTGATTTTTTTTCTGTCAGCTTAATGGCTGCACATGGAAATACTGATACTTTAATTACCATCTGTGGCCCCACAGCCCCCCAGTCAGACCCCACTGGCCACTCAGGGGCCTGGAGGAACTTCTGGTCAGGTTTAAGCTAGGTCTCTATCATTCTACTTACCAACAAAGACGTGGAAGTCAGATGCTGGGGCGAAAAACTGCGTGCTCAGAGACGTCCAGGAGCGACCAGCCGGCAACCTTCTTTAGCAGGCAACTCAGCATAAGGACTCTTTCCTGCCTTCCAAACCAAGAGAGGGCCACACTCCAAGTCCCTCCCTCCTACTTCCTGTGTGTTTCAGAGACGTCCAGGAGCGACCAGCCGGCAACCTTCTTTAGCAGGCAACTCAGCATAAGGACTCTTTCCTGCCTTCCAAACCAAGAGAGGGCCACACTCCAAGTCCCTCCCTCCTACTTCCTGTGTGTTTCTCCATCCATTTTCCAGACTTCCTCTAGCTCTCTGGGACTACTTCCTGTCAACTGGTTGCTGACTCTGCCTCTTGATCCAAGGTTGTATTTAATTAATGCAAACTCAGAGTTCACACTTTGAGCAAATATCCCGCAACTGAAAGACCCCGGCCCAGCGCAAGCAGCTGAGGCTTATGGAAAACTCCTTTCCCCCACAGCTCAGCCATTTTTTATCAGGAGGGAGCTCAGCTCAAGGTCTTCGCAGCTGAATAGTCACTACTATCTCTGTCCAGATAGGGGCACAGGTGTCTATGGTCTGCATAGCCAGCCCAGAAAGATTGGGCAGGCACAGAAACCCTTTGTTCTTCAGATAGGGCCAAGGCCGAGAATTGAGTTCTGAGAGAAACCTTAATTGCCTCTCTGTCCAGATGGGAGAAACCTTAATTGCCCTCGTTCTGAGCCCCAGCCTCATTTAAATTACCCAATCAGGGTCCCGTAACTAGGCTTCTCGCTTCTGTACTGCGCTTTTTGCTATAAAAGAACCCCTGAGTCCCCAGCTCGGGGCTCTCAGTTCCCAAGACTGAGATGCCCCGGGTACCCGTGTATTATCAATAAAGCCTCTTGCTGTTGCATCCAAGCTCGTGGCCTCGGTGTTCCTTGGGTTCGGGTCTCCCTCCCGTGAAAGTCCCCCGCCTGGGGTCTTTCATTTGGTGCGTTGGCCGGGAAGTGAGACCCCGCCCAGGGACCACCGACCCACTTCTGGGAGGTAAGAATTGTCCGGACTAAATTTCTGTTGTTCTGTTGTCTGCTGTCTGTCTATGCCTGTTATTTTCTTGCGCCTGCGTTTGTAGTATACAGCTGTATGCATTTGTAAGCTCCAGGAGACGTCCTGGTAGCGTTTGGAGTACTCATTTGTTTGGGGGCCCCGTTTGTATTTGGAGTACTCATTTGTTGGGGTGGATGTCAATCTGCCCCGTTTGTATTTGGAGTACTCATTTGTTGGGGTGGATGTCAATCTGCCCCGTTTGTATTTGGAGTACTCATTTGTTTGGGGTAGATGCCTAGGAATCTGCCCCATTTGTATCTGGGAGTCCTTAGGGACTCAGTTGTTTGGGGTAGATGCCTAGGAATCTGCCCCGTCTGTTTGGGGAAGTCCCGCTGGCCGAGGGAGTTTCCATCCTGATAGGGGACAAGGACGGGAGCACAAGGCCCCCGTCCCCGATCTGAATTTGCTTTTGACTTTCGTCAAAGCCACGCAGCGAAAATCTGTTTGTTTTTGTTTCTTATCTGTTCGTCCGTCTGAATGTCGTTTGTCATCGCTCTCGAGATGCTCGTAACCGGACTGTCGCGCGCAAGAAGCAATGGATCATCCTTTGCTCTTCTGAATGGCCAACTTTTGATGTTGGCTGGCCACGAGATGGCACCTTTAACCCTCAAATTATTTTCCAGGTGAAAGAGAAAGTCATGGATCCTGGACCCCAGGGCCACCCGGACCAAGTACCCTATATAGTTACCTGGGAAGTGCCGGTCTATGACCCTCCCTCCCCCTCCTCTTGGGCGAAAAACTGCGTGCTCAGAGACGTCCAGGAGCGACCAGCCGGCAACCTTCTTTAGCAGGCAACTCAGCATAAGGACTCTTTCCTGCCTTCCAAACCAAGAGAGGGCCACACTCCAAGTCCCTCCCTCCTACTTCCTGTGTGTTTCAGAGACGTCCAGGAGCGACCAGCCGGCAACCTTCTTTAGCAGGCAACTCAGCATAAGGACTCTTTCCTGCCTTCCAAACCAAGAGAGGGCCACACTCCAAGTCCCTCCCTCCTACTTCCTGTGTGTTTCTCCATCCATTTTCCAGACTTCCTCTAGCTCTCTGGGACTACTTCCTGTCAACTGGTTGCTGACTCTGCCTCTTGATCCAAGGTTGTATTTAATTAATGCAAACTCAGAGTTCACACTTTGAGCAAATATCCCGCAACGAGGAAGGAAGGAAAGAAGGAAGGAAGGAAGGAAGGAAGGAGGGAGGGAGGGAGGGAGGGAGGGAGGAAGGAAGGAAGGAAATTAAAGGGAAAGAAAGGAAAACGGGGCTAGGGGTCTGACTGACCGTTACAAATGCTAAGAAGGAAGTGACAACACCAGAACTCTCGCCCTTACACCACTGATAGGAGAGACCTACAATCACTTGGGAAAACAGTTACTGCCTTCCGAAAAAGTGAGTTAACCTAACACATGACCCAGCCATTCCTGCCCTAGGTACCTCACAAAAAAAAATGCATCTCTTGTACACAAATATTCACAGCAACTTTATTAGAATGCCCAAACCTGTCGACACAGGAATGGATGAATAAATGGTAATATATCCATATGATGGACAATTTCCCAGCAGTATAAAATGAATGGGCTATTGACATGTTCCCACAATCTGGACAGCTTTGAATCAGACTGAACAAGAAGCCAGACAAAACTGTGTTAAACACTAAAAGAAACCATTTACATAAGTATTTAGGAAAGGAAATTTAAGTCATGGTGACGAAAGCAGATCATTGGTTCCCACAGTGAGTGGGAAGGGGGCAAAGGGAAGGGAAGGGGAGGGGAGGGAAGGGGAGGGAAGGAGGGGAGGGGAGGGAAGGGGAGGGAAGGAGGGGAGGGGAGGGAAGGGGAGGGAAGGAAAGGGACACTTCAAAGGGACACAGAGCCATAGGTGACAATGCATATGTACAGTTTCAGCATGCTGAAGTTGGGGCAGGAGGATTGCCATGAGTTGGAGGCCAGCCCAGAAAACATAGTAAAAGCCTACTTGAAAAACTAGGGGGAACACAATAAACTTCTGTAGGCAATGAATATATTCACTGGCATGATTATAGCAATGGTCTTATCTATGGTAAATATTTTTATAATTTTTCTTTATATTTAGAATTCCATACATGTATATACATATGATCATATACACAGCATTCCCCCTTCAGCTCACTCCCATATCTCCCCAGAATGTCCCCCTTCAAACCCTATGTCTTCTTTTATTTATTTTTTGTAAGCCTCTAAGTCCAGTCAGTACTACCTATAAGGGCATGGATATGGGGCCATCCAATGGGGCACGGGAAACCTACCAGTGACCACACTATCAAAAAAATGCTTCTCCCTCCCGCAGTAACCATTAACTGCCAGCAGCAACTCAGTGTAGAGGGCGGGGCCTGGAGATCTCCATCTATGCAGGAACCTTGGTGGGCTTGATCCTGAGCAGCTCTAATGCAGATAACCATAACAGTTGTGGTTTCACGAGTGCAATAGCCATGCCTTGTCCAAGAAGATAGCATTTCTCAGCACTCTTCTCCATACGTTGGTTCTTACATTCTCTCCGCCTCCTCTTTCATGATGTTCCCGAGCCTTGGATGGGCCGGGGGAGGGGGTGGAGGGAGTGAGGGGCTTGATGCCCCATTTAGGGCCAAGCACTGCTTATGACTTCTCAGTTGTACATCCCTGCATCGACAGCTGCTCATGGCACATACATGCCACGTATTATCAATCGTATGACTTGCACATGTGAAGTCTACTGTGTTTCAGTAACATCTTTATGAAACAAAAAAAAAACACACATTCAGGGGCTGGAGAGATGGCTCAGAGGTTAAGAGCACTGACTGCTCTTCCAGAGGTCATGAGTTCAATTCCCAGCAACCACATGGTGGCTCACAACCATCCACAATGAGATCTGGTGCCCTCTTCTGGAGTGCAGACATACATGGAGGCAGGATGTTGTATTCATAATAAGTAAATAAATCTTTTTAAAAAAACACATTCAAAAGTGTATGTGATAAAGATGTCTAGGGAAGCCAGGTGTTGGTGGTACACACCTTTGATCCCAGTACTTGGGAGGCAGAGGCAGGTGACTCTCTGTGAATTCAAGGCCAGCCTGGTCTACAGACTGAGTTTAGGACAGTCAGGGCTACACAGAGAAACCCTGTCTTGAGAAAGGAAAGGAAAAAATAAAAGATGTTTAGGGAAAATGACGTAAGTTAAAACATATGTTTTCATAGCATGTTCTTTCTCTGTGTGTGTGTGTCTGTGTGTATATGAGTATGTGTATGTCTGTGTGTGTGTCTGTGTGTGTGTCTGTGTCAGCGTGTGTATCTGAGTGTGTGTGTATGTGTGTGTGTGTGTGTGTGTGTGTGTATACCGTACTATGTAAGCTGTGTGGATACAGAAGTTGGTGTCAGGGTGTCTTCCTCAGTAGCATCTCCTTTTGTTTTTTAAGACAGTATCGCTCACTGATCTAACCATTTCAGCTAAGCCAGCTGCCCCTCCAGCCAGTGCTAGGACCCTGGTCTCCCTGGTTCTAGCACAAATGAAGGATTGAGCACCAGCTATTCATGGTCTAAACACTACTTCTAATCAGAGAAAGGGGTATGTAAAGTCACATGACAACACTTTGCTCCATGAGGCATGAAGAATCTGTCTATCATGCAATAACCAAAACTAAATGTGAACATTACACATCTACCAGCATTGCCCATAGTATAAAGAAAAGCGTTCACACCATTATATTGTAAAGAGACAAACAGAACCTACTCAGGAATGTGACTTATCCCCAGCTATAGGATCTACCCCCAAAAGGAGAAAGGGCTGCAGCTACAGGTATTCCAAGAAGACCCCCACCTCCCAGGACAGTCCCTGTACCAAAAGTCAAGACCCAGATAACTGCTGGGTGGCAACACTGTTTGATTAAAAGCCTTCCTGCTGCCTGGATATCATCTTTCGTGCTCACTCTGCAGACCATCGAGCCCTTCTGGGGCTTGATCATTGTCCTGTGCCAAACCCACCAAGCCCTGCCCAGAGGCAGGGTCGACACAGGTGCTATGGGAACACAGAGAGGGAGGAACGCTTTAAAAAACATTTTGAGCTTAGACCTAGCCACTTTCCCCCCTGTTTTGGCGATACTAATCTGGCTTCCCACCCTGTCAACTGGGCCACAGGCAAATTCCTCCACCTCTCTGAGGCTCAGCTTCCTTGCCTGTAAAATGGGAATAAGGAGGCCTACCACCTGCCAGGGTGCTTGTGAGAACAAGAATGAGCTCACGTCTGTGGGAACGCTTGGTACACTCAGGTGCGCGGGCCAGGCTATCATCGCCATCATCAGTA